TGACTTTTTGCTATATGTCACACCTTAGACTCCATGCCTGCTTGGTGTTCTCTCCGTGCTTGAAATTCTATTCTTCTTTCCTCCTGGCTTTTCTGGCTTCCTTCAAGCCAAAATTCAAATCCCACCTTTAGCTGGAAGCTTTTCCTGCCCCATCCCACCTATATACTGTTGGTCTACTGCTTTCCTTTTGAGATCACTTTTCAGTTACTTAACATTGCACTATGACTTTTGGGCCACCTTAATTAAAGAGTATGTACATAAGTGGTTTTTTTTTTGCATGTAGTTTTCTCCATTAGAATATAAGCTCCTTGAGGGCAGGGACTGTTTTTGCTTCTCTTCTTAACCTCAGTGTTAAATCAGAAGCACTTAATAAATACTTTTGACTGATAGACTGGAAGGTAAGGATTATTTCCCATCATACTCATCATGGATGTGACTGAATGTTTATTAGTGAGTTTATTTAGCCCTGTGAATGGCCATTTACTTACCCATCATGCTGTGGTTAACAATTATGTAAGATAGAGGCCAGTTATAAGAACAGGCAGACTTGACAGCTACACATGGGCTATGCTGTTGAGGAAGTATTGCATGCTTCTTCTCTCTGAATTTTGGAAGGGCTGCCTATCAGGATGCTATTATACTTTTACTTTTCCATTTCAAGAGTTTCTTTTTAAATACAAATACTCCTAGGAGAGGGTCATACCTTGGCTCATAATCAGTTAACACCTTAGAAATAATTAATTGATCTGCAATTGAGACTTTGAAAGGGACACTGTTATGGTGGTAGCAGTGAAAGTAGAGGGAAAGTGGATAAACCAAAAAGGTGAGAAAACTTCTGAGAATGGAGAGAGACAGAATAGCAAGGGAAAATTTTACTCACTCTATGATTTTGCCTGAAGTGTGTAGCATTGTTTGTATGAATAAAAATAAGACTGCTTTTTCCTCCTATTTTTTTCTACTAAAATAGCCCCTTTGAAGAAATAAGTCTTGGAAACATTGATGGATACATGGATTTTCATACTGATTGAAAACATCTAGTAGTCAGTGAAGCTTATTCTAAACATTTTGCCAAGTTCTCTTGGAGTTTTCTCATTTAGATAATGACACATTGTTATCACACCATTCATTCTGAGAAAAGTAAAGGAGCATTTTAATGGGTATTGGTAGAAGACAGAAGCACAAGTCTGCTGTGCACAATGTCTTACTTGCTTCTCTTTGTACTTAGTAGAAGGCAGATTAATTTTAAAATTAAACATTCTTATTAGACTATAGATTTTTGAGTTGGAAGGAAAACTATAGCCCAAAGCAGGAGAAGAATTTGAATCCATTGTCCTCTGGATCTAAATACAAGTTCTTTCCACTGTATCACAATTTGCTTGTAAACCAATATTTTCACAAAAGTGTGTTCTGTGGCTGTGCTCACAATGTGAAAATATCTAGTCAGATTAGTACAGAATCAATCCACCACTGAGATGTTTCATTTGAATGACGCCAATCATTTGGATGATGTTTCAATTCATGGCTGTTTCGACCCTTGGCACATGGAGTTTAAAAAATTAGCAGCAAGAAAACAACTTGGAAATGATCCTGCTTTCAGCTGAGTTCTATACAACCTCCAGACAACAAGTAGAAAAGGGAGAAAATCAATTGATTTGTTTACCTGTGATGCTGAAGGACCAGTTTGATGATTTTTTTTCATTGATTTGCTTCAGTTAACTAGGTGTTTAGGTATGACCTTTAAATGTTATTGAATCTGTTCCTGTTAGGAAAAGCATCTTGCCTCCACTTTTCTCGACTGTGTACAATAATAATGTTTCATTATTTCGTGGACTATTGACTTCCCCAGTGGGGGCACTCCCTCTGCTGACATAGATTGCAACCCTTCCATGACTTGGCATATGGTCTTGAGAATTGCTGAGCCCTGAAAGATCATTACTCTGTGGTTACGTGGCTGAATCTCATTGAACTAACCTAGACAGGTCCGCAGATGAGACACACAACTAACCTCAAAGTCTTTCTAGATTAGTGGGCTCTATCAGAGATGGGCTCTGATATTACAGCTTTTGAGGACTCAGGATCAATTCTACAACCATTAAGAGGCTTCAGAAAGACTCCAATGTAAGTGAATATTATAGCAATTTATAGTTAAGCAGCACAAGGGACTGTGCAAAACACTTTTCTCACAATACCCCTATGAAGGAGATACAGCAACTATTATCTCTGTTTCCCAGGTGTGAAAAATGAGACTCTGAGAGTTGATTAAGTGTGACCAAAGCCACATAGCACGTATGTGTCAGAACCAGAATTCAAACCCATGTTTCCTTATTTTCAGTCTAACATTCTTTCTACTATGCTAACAACTCACTCTTTGCAGCTCCTCCATTAGATAGAAATTCATAAAAAACTCCTATGTGCCCCTCACATTTCCTAGAAAGTTTTTTATGCCCTTATTTCCTTTTTGTGTAGTTCTTTTAAGTTGTGTGAAATTGGCTTTATTATAAACAAAAAGCTGACTTAGACAAGACATTTATTAAAATGTAAATTGCACTTGCCTGATAAAGGGAAAAGAAGAGAAAGGATTTAAATGAAGATCCTTGGGGCAGTAGGAAGCTGAGGTTGGAATAATCAGAAGAGATTCAAAGAATTTTTGTTGAAGAAATATATGAATGAATAAATTTTACCTTAGATGATTTTCTGTGGAGAAAGAAATGACAAACCTCTCCAGTATCTTTGCCAAGAAAACCCAAAATGGAGTCATGAAGAGTTGGACATAACTGAAAATGACTAAACAGCAAAAAATTTCTCCACCTTGGATACAAATGTTGGTATGCGGGGAAGAGGGAGATGGGGTTAGTGCTTCGAAATGCTTGAGTATAAAAAATGTAACATATTCATGAAATTTGAAACATTATACCTCATTTGTTATTAGGTATTAATAACGAGATAAAGGATAGGAACTTTCATTCAATCAATCAATAAACATTTATTAAGCATCTACTGGGTGCCAGGTACTGTGCTAAGCATTGGAGGCATTCAGACTAATGTGCATGGAATTGATAACAAAATTTTAAATAGGAGTATAATTAATGAACCTCCTAATTGGTATTCTTTACTCCAGATATTAGTCCCTATCATGACTTTTGTCTGTGATACATGTATTTGATTTCAACTGGACTGGGGAAAATCCCCTCACCAATGCAAACTGAGTGTCTGGCACATAGTAGTCGCTTAATACATCTTTGTTTACTTGATGTAGTAGTAGATTGGTCCTGGAGACATGCATTAGGCACAAAGACATTCAATATTTTGTTGAGACCACACAATATCAGACAAGGAGTTTGAACTCAGAGCTTTCTGATGCTCAGCATGTCATCTCCTCCCCCTCATGCAGTCCTTGTTTTCACTATTTTGTTATGTCAATTAATTATAGATTTGGCAGTGGTCAACCAATCTGTTCTCTACAGTTCCCCAAGTGAAGTTAGGACTTTCACTAACTCTGCCAAATGTGCTGGTCGATGTTGAAACTTAGTATTGGAAAGCACTGATGAAAAAGTTGATATTTTCCATTCTAGTATATTCATAGGATCATAGATCTAAAGCTGAAATGAAATTCAGGCAATCTAGGCCAAAAGAGGAGGAAATTGAGCACCAATGAGGTTTTTAATGACTTGTATAATATCACTTAATGTCAGAGTCATAATTGGAACCCAGAGCCTCCAAGTGCAGCTATTGCTCCTTCCAACTATACATGCTGCCTTATCAATTCCATTTCATCCCATCCTGTTCCATTCAACAAATATTTATCACTGTTTCCAGTGTCTCTTTCACAGATCTGAGATGATTGGAAAGAAAAAGGATATTCTATATCTGATCATATTTACTTGTATCTACCTTAACTCCCAGCCTCTAAAAACATGCACAAAATACATTGTGTATTTTGACTTTACACAGTTAGAATTATATTCATCATCCAAATATCTTGATGACATTCAGCATCCATGTAAAAGCAGCAGCACTCCAGTGTTTACTTTTTTCAATGACAACAATTGGTATTTACTGAGTATTGTCTCTTCAGCAAAGAGCTAAAAAAGACTGAATGTTTTGTACATGCATTGGCATGTACAAAAGAATAACTATATGGAAACAAGGAAAGTAGTCAAATGTAAACATATATGTACCTTATATGTAATTCGGTGGCTATTTCTCTCTCTGTCTTGATGAACATTTGCTAATTGGATAATTATGGCTATACATAACTACCCTGGAGTTTTGCCATGCAGTTGTGACCACATGTGCTTCTATTGCCTTTGATACAGACTAATTTGTAAGAATCAGTTTGCAAAAATAACAGGTAGTCTTTAAAATTCAATCACTATATGCATTAGGCTGGGCTTGTTGCTCAGTCTCGTAAATACCATTCTTGAGAATCGCTGTTTTTCTAGGAAAAGGAAGGGAATCTATCAACTCATTTTTCTCTGCCTCTGTTCGCTGTAGTTTAGAGCAATAATTCTAAGACCCCAATAGAGGTTGTGAGTCTGAGTTGTAAGTTACTGTAGAGAAAATTTTTTTTAATTTTCATATTTTTACTCATCTTTATGATCTTGTCAATTTCTTGACATTCAATAAAACCATACTTTAACATCTTCAGGTGAGAGTACTTTCTTGACGTTGATCTGTATACCATACTTAATATAACATTTTCCAGAGAGGAATATAAAATTGAAGAATAGATTTTTAGCATTCCTTTAAATCTTATTAGTAGCTCAATGTTTAAGATCTAACATATATACTTAAAACTTCATAATATCAGTTTTTAGGTTTTTAAGTTGCTTTGGAATTGGACTTGATTTTAGCATTAGCTGAATGTGGGAAACATGAAGATAGGAAACATGAGAAACTGGACATGTTTTGTTTTTTGTCAGCTGAGCACTTAAAAAAAAATCCCTTCTCACTCCTGTATTCCATCCCCTATTGCTTTTTCATTTAATTGGATTTCTTACCTGCTTCCGGGAAGAAATGGTGCTATTGAAACATCTGCTGGCTGTCTTAGCATTCAAATTCTTCTTCTGGTAAGTTGGATCATTCCTCCATGCCTTAGAGCTCTCTTTAGGATCTGAGGGAATGGGATTCAAGAATAGTATCCTAGCTATGAGTCCATAGAGGACAGTGGCTAGAATCATTGGTACAACATAGAATATGGCAAAGTCCATCAGATAAATGGGTGAGTAGTAATTCCTAGATACTTTGTAGCCACAGGACACTACAGTGGCATCTTTGTAAGTGACCATATTGAGGTCAAGCAAGAAAAACCAAAGCATACAATAAATGGAGGTGAAAGCCCACACAAAGATAATGATCTTTTTAGCTCTTGAAAAGGTACAGAGGAACTGGGCCTTGATGGGGTGGCAGATGGCTATGTATCTCTCAATTGTAAATGCTGTGATGGAACAAGAAGAAGCATTAATGCCCAAGTACTGGAGATAGGTAATACAGAGACATCCTACATAGCCATAGACCCAGGAACCATAGAGACTGTCAGTGATGTTGGGGAGACCTGCAGCCACCAGCACCGTAAGGTCAGCTACTGCTAGGCTCACCAGGTAACAGTTAGTTGGGGTCCTCATATGTTTGGTTCTCAACACCACTAGGACCACCATGATGTTGCCTATGATGCCCAATCCACAGATGATGAGAACTAAGAGGATAGTGACCACTTGGTATTCTAGGGATACCAATGCTCGGGCCTGAAGTTGTGTCTGGTTGAGTTCACCTCCTGTCTTATTTTCCATCTTTAGCAGCTTGAAGCTTCTCTCAAACCCCTGGTGCTCAGCACATTTTATCTTCCAGGGTCTTCACTTTCATTCAGTGTTACTGCCTTCCCTGTAACAAAGTGGGTACAAATGGATAATTGTATGAGACACCCATTCACCTTTTTACCACTTCATAGTAAATGACAATCCCTCCCATGTAACTTTAACTTCTCATTTGAGCTCCCTCTCCCCTTCTATGGTGTGTCTGGCAGAGGGACATTCAGTAACTCCATTACCCTTCTGTTGGAGAATATGACGACAGATTGGTTTAGTTTATAGGAATAAAGCCTTTCTCTCCCTGCCTTTCCCCCCACGCCCCCAACCCCACCTTGGGGAAAACTGAATGCGAGAGGAAAAGGAGAGCTCTTTATTCTGACTGTGATGCTGAAACAGAAAACTAAATACGAAGAACTAGAAATTTAAACAGTCCAGCTTAACTATTGAGGAGAAATATAAAGTGGGAGGGAAAGGCATAAAGATGGAAAAAAAATCAAAGAGAAATATCAGTAACTTTAGCAATTAATTTCTTCTCCTTTTTCCTATAAAGGGATGATGTCCCTGTGCAATAAAATAGCAAATATTAGGATCCACAATTTTGCCTAATGCTTCCTGTCCCTGTGTACCAGATAAGGATAGATGGGCTTCTTCCCTTACCTTGTTCTCTGTAGCACTGCCTTGTTTCCTGGGTAGTTGAAAAGGTGACAAGTCCAAGTTCCCAGTCCTGCAGAAAATCTTGTCTGTACTTTATTTCGTGAAGAGATCACTTGGCAGCTGCTCAGTCCTCAGAACTGCAGTTCCCTCCACCCTCTCCACCCTCCCAGTCCTTTCCAAGGGACGACAGACCATACAGCCTCACTAAAACTGTCAAATGACAGACCGTCCCCTTAATAAGAGCACCCACACACATGCACACGATCTTCCTACCCAGTATTCACCAATTCAGAATCTTTTCTTTGGAGAATTCCTTTTCTGACAGCCTTAACCAAGAGGACTTTGAAAAAAGAAAACAAACCAAACAAACAACAAAAACAAACCACAAACGAGAGACCTGGCAGAAAAGCAGGGCTCTCAGCAGCTCACGGGGAGTCTAAGCAGCACTGCAGAAATTCCCATTTCTAAGCCAAGCTAACCTGAAATGTGGATATGCTCACTCCTCTTTTGATGGAACTTCTGGCTCTGAGTCAGTCACCTGCTGTTTAATGCTACTTGCAGTGAGAAAGTGGCTAGCAAAACCTCCTCAGTTCAGAGTTAAAGAGATATCCAGAGCCTTTGTATCTTGAAAACGTCTGTGGGTCTGAGCTGAAATCAATTTCTCACTCGCTGCTTTAGAAACCTGTGGACTATTTCCCCTCACAAAAGAGAAATTGGCTTTTCTCACCTCTCAAACTGTAGAGGGAGAAAATGAAGATTGAGTTGATTCTGAAGCATTTTCATTTCAATCTTCCAGGGTCTGTGAAAAAAAAATTAAAAAGTGGTTTATGAAGGCATAATTTTGAGGGTAGGAATGACCTAACTTTACTTTTAAGACTTTCTGGCCCCGGAGTACTAGTCCCTTTTGTCAAATGTTTTAACTATTCCACCCATTTCTTTTTCTTCACTTGTGCTCCTGCACCATTCTATTTACTCTGTTGTTATATTTCCATTGCACCTTGTTCCTAAGTCAAAGAGGATCCTAATAGAAATCAAATTCTACACAAATTTTTGATACCTCAGCCCTGTAAGGGAAGGTTCCTGGAGGCTGTCTTCTTCCAGAAAGTGCAACCTTCCTGCTACATTGTTGGCCCAGAGGGTTATTAACTTGACCCTTACTTCTTTTCTGTAGCTCCTATGCATATTTTACTACTTTTACTGAAAGTCCAGAAAAATAAATCCATCTTCCCCAAACCCAGTTGGCCTCAGAATGCTAAAGCCTCTTCAAAACCAACGGTTAGCCTCCTCGGTCTTGTTAATTGATCCTGAAAAAATACCACCTTTCAGGGATTACAGTGGAAAGTGTCAAACTCCACTGGTGAGTCCTGGGTCAGAATGTATAAGAAATGGCCCAGCCACGGTGAAGTGGATACAAGAGCAGTCTATGAAATGGGAGACAATTAGAAGCTCTTTAATCACCTCCTATCTCACCCCCCACCTCAATCGACAGAAAGCTCAGGAATAAATTAGATGTCTATTGATCAGGTGACATCTCAACACGAGTGGAATGGGATATTATAGCACTGTCAAAAACAATAAATATGAAGAATTCAGAGAAACATGGGAAGGCTTGTATAAACTGATATTGAATGAAACAAACAGGATCAGGAAAACAATATGTATTGTATCAAAATGAAAATAAAAATAAAAATAACAACCACAGAATAAACTTAACATTGTAACTATAATAAACAAGCTTTGCTATGAAAAAGGAAAGAGAAAATGTATCTCCTTTATACTATCAAATGCACTCAATGCGCTGGTTAGGTTTGCTAAACCACCCCCTACTCCTTTTATTTTTTCTTTATTTTTTCTTTTTTTGTTACTAGGGAAGGTCCTCTTGATAGTGGAGGGCAGAAAGATACATTTAAAAATTTAAAAAGATGTAAATTCTAAAAATGTCAGTAAAATTAAAAAAAAAAGAAGCTTGGATTGTCATTTGCTTGGAGGATCAGTCAGGCTGGACACGAAACATAATTTATTCACCTGACCAAGTGTAAATTCAGGGGCTCTGATGTCTGGCAGTTCTCTGATTCCCTTGGTCAATCACCTAAAGATCTTCCCTCCAAAATATATTCTAGATGATTCCTATTCTCCTGGACTAATGGCTTTTCATCAGAGGCAGCTAGGTGGCACAGTTGATAAAATACTGGGCTTAGACTCAGGGAGACTCAAATTCAAATCCACCCTCAGACACTTACTTAGCTGCATGACCCTGGGCAAGTCACTTAAGCTCTTTTTGCTTGCCTATCATAGCTCCTAGCTCCCACCATTGCTAATGAGGTTCAAATAAGATTACAGTGCTTTGTAAAGTGCCTGTAGGTAACATATAAATGCTTATTCTCTTTCATTCTTCATCAGCCAATAAATAAACAAATGGCATGTGGGAGAGAAAGAGAGATTTTTCAAATGAATATAATTAGATTTAGAACCACAATCTTAGAGATCACCTAGGTCAATTTTTCATTTTACAGATGAAGAACTGAATCTTAGAGATATTAAGTGACTTGTTCAAACTGGTAGTGAGTAGTAGTGCCAGGATATAAGCCCACACTCTCAGACTCCAAATCCAGCAGTCTTTCTCTTGTACCACTAATTAATTACACCCACAAAGCACATATCTAATCAGATATTACCAAGTGAGTGTTTCTTTTTTGCAGGCAGGGGACATTGGGAAAACAAGGAAAGGGAGGTCTGGTTAAAAATAAATTCAGAGTACCTCCTTCCTCAACCCTCTTAAAACCTGGAACACATTTCTTTGGAGCTATTTCACTAATTTTAGTACCTTCCTTATGTTATGATTTTTAAAAACAAATAAACACATTTCAGAAAATATTAATTTTTTAAAAATAAGACATTAGATGACTCTTTTGTTGGTTAGATGAAGTTAGATGGCTTCTGTATGAAATTTTGGACTCTTCCTTATAAATAGGTACTATTTTCAGGCATGAAAAAAAAATCTTTGCTTAGATACTGATTTAGAGGTCTTCAAAATCATTTATAATCAATGAGATGCCAGGGAAGATTTTTCAATACACATTGTATATGGAGCAGATAGGTGGCAGAATGCATAGAATACCACTCCTGGAATCAGAAGGACCTGAGTTCAAATCCAGCCTCACACACGTATTAGCTATGTAACCATGGCAAGTCACTTAACCTCCCCAAAATACACATTGTGCTCTATTGAGTAAATGGCATCTGTAATACAGCATACGACCATAGATAACAATTATGATAGTTTATATTTATATAATAGTTTAAGATTTCCAAAGTACTTTACAAATGCCCTTATAGTAATCTTTTGGAGGTTCTATTGTTATTACACCCTTTTTACAGATGAGGTAAGTGAGCCTTACAGAGGTTAAACACCACTTAGAAAGTAAGTGCCTCCAGTGATACTCAGATCTTCCTGAACCCCAGTCTCCTAGTGAATCTACTATATCATGTTACCTTTTAGCAGCAAGGGTTATAGGAAAGGAAACTTAAAGATCATCTAATTCAATCCCCCTTATTTTATGGATGGGGAAACTGAAACCCATCTGAGTTCATACATATAGTAAATAGCAGACATGAAATTTGAACCCAACTTCTCTGACTCCAAATATAGTATTCTTTTTTATGCCACACTTTTTTTGGGGGGGGGGGATTGTTGTTCATTTGTTATGCCTTCTTCTTTTGCCAGTGAAGTGTTAACCTTGATCATTCAACTGACATCTTCAAGAGACACAGGTGTTGATTTAAGATTGTGATGAATTTGGCAGGACCCCTTTCAAATAGAACCCTGATGTCATAGGCAGCTGCTCCTTCTGCAGCTGCTTCCTAGGGAAAAATGGGCATTGGATTCTTACTAAAAGACTGATACCTTGGTAGTATAGACTGGGCATCTGCTGCTCCTCTCTAGGATCAATTGATCAGCCAATTAATTAATTAGTAAATACTTATTAAGTGCCTACCATGTGCTGGGGGTACAAAGAAAACAGTGAAATAGTCCCTATTCTTAGAGAGCTTACAATTACAGGCAATATGTGTGTGTCATGAATGGAAGGATGATTACGTAGTAGTTATCTACTTCATTCTTCCACACAGCCATCCATTCATCCACCCATCCATCTATCCATCCACAAACACATACATACACACGTGTATATGCATATATAATTTAGAAAAGCGTGGAGAGGCTTACATGAACTGATACTACATGACATTAATATGATATGTACATCTACAAAATAAAGCATACCCAAGGTAAAATTGGAAAACTCCAACATATGAAGGGAGGGTTAATTGGAAAAAGCCTCCTGTAGAAGGTGGAACTTCAATTGAGTCTTGAAAGAAGCCAGAGACTCCAGAGATGAAGATGAAGAGGGAGAACAATCTTCTCTCCATAGATGATTATCAATATGTCTTAAACTCAGACAGGTATGAAATACTTTGCTATAATATTAGGATTCAATGGCATAGAACAGTGGTATCAAACTCAAATAGAAAAAAAGATCCTTGTAGGTAATGTATTGACTTGGAAAACCACAAATTAACATTATCTATATCGTACTGTATTTTTACTTATTTTGTTACACATTTCCAGTTAAACTCAAGAGTTTTGCAGAGGGTATTTTGACACCTCTGGCATACCTAGAATAGTTACACAATTTATCTTTATTCATCCCCATACCCAATTCTGACTTTTTTCAGAAACCCTGTACTTTAAGGCCAGGTATGTTCAACCTCTGATCTTTGTAGAAAGGAAGGTCCTTTCTGGCTAAACTCTGGTCATAGTCATAGTGTCCATATTGGATTCTAACTGCTATCCCTGTAGTGCTCTGCAATTCCAGAACTTTCTGAACATATCTCTTCCATAAATTTCCAGTCTTGGTCCAATTGCACAAGCTCCTATTCTCTTCGGCTTTGGAGTGATTTATTATCTCCTTTCTACTCTTAGAGCACAGACATTCATTCTCAGCCTCTCTTCACTTTTCACTCTCCTCCCTGATATCTCCCATACTGCCTCATAACTCCTGGCTCACAGTCATATTGGCCCCAAACTGTCTATTGTACTGTGGTCCCATGTCCATCAATCAATTTCATACCCATCTAAAATTTGAGTTTACAAAACAATGGCATTTACATCAAGTTATTGT